GTCGTATTCTTCTCTTTCTTGTGTCCTGAAAGGAAGGAGGGGGTGGGGAGAGGGGGGTTGAAGGGCACAATACATGTACTACTTCCAAGTTACCTCAAAGTTTTATCTGTGACAAAACGCATACACACACCCAAAAACTACCAAGGCCGCCTCATCATCACGTCCTAAGTATGTGTCGCTGAACCCACCTCGCTCTCTGTTGTTGTTAGTTTGTTAGCGCCCCCCACCCTGGCACGAGGTGGACAGCGGTCAGTGCGAGAGTGTGTAGATTGATGGTCCAGACAGTGTCCGTGACTGGTGCCGACGTCACAGGGACACGCTTCCGTTGCCCCCACGTCAGGGAGATGTATGATTCTGTCGACTGCTCACAAGTCTACGTGTGTGTTAGGAGCTCTTTTCAATATTTATAAAACGTCCGCTGGGTGGGACATGCGCTAGTCCACAGCCGGCCAGCCATTTGGGCGCGACACAGGCATACCTTCTTTTTCCTTCTAGATCTTCCGTGGAAACTTAAAGTTTCTCTTTTGCAAGTCACGCTCACATAGGAAGGATACAGTGTCACTTCAGATTGTAATCCGTATTGTTATTACTGTTGTAACCCATACTATTACTGCAGCGAGGAAAGTTTTTCTGTGGCCTGAAAGTTTTATTTAATTACATTCAGTTCGTGGCCAGAAGAGATAAGTTCTTTCGCGGTACTCGGAGCCATTTCGTTGGACCTTTTTCTTTTTTTAAGTTCAGGTTTTCGTTTGGACGAGATTTATTCAGAGCTTGTCGGTGTTCGTTGATTATTTTGTAGATATTGGAAACCCTGCAGATTCTCTCGTCTTTTAGCGGCCACGAGTACTTGAAGTTTGATCATATTGTAATCGAAAGCTTGTAGAGTGTAAATTTCACATTTATCCTGCCTACACCTTCCCTAAAGAAGAACATTAACAACAACAACAACTCAGCAGCATTAATAAAGCGAAAAGAGCAATAACAACGACAGCAATCTCAGTAACGTCACCGTATACCAAGTGACGCTGATCCGTGGAAGCAACGTTACTATTCTACTTGTTCTTCCGTTATTCGTAACAAATAGAACATTCGTACAAGTTTCGCTGGAATTTCAGAGAAGACGGGAGATTGTTCGTTCACAGTTCTCGTTCTTCTGTGCAGTGATCTGGCCAATAAACATTTTAAAAACCAAGTTAACGACAAGCAAACAAACAAGCGGACGAGATAAAAGTGTCTACATTTTGTGAAGATCAAATAACTGTCCCCTTTTTTAAGCCAAGATGAGACTGACAGCGTCTCTCTCTCTCCTTGTGACGTGTTGTGTTGTGGTGACCACCGCCTGGACGACACGGGGGGAGTATGAGGGAGAGTTCTCACCCACCTCCTATTCCTCCTCATCCTCCCTCCTCCCCAGATCAGACCCTCGTTATGGGAGACTGTCTGACTCGCTTCAGTCCCTCCGTCCGTTATCGCTGGGCTCCCTGTCCTCCCTGTCCTCCCGTCCCCTCTCCCGCCGCCCCCTACCCCTGCTCAAACTGACAAGGTACAGACCCTTACGCTCCATTCTCTCCCCCGAGAACATTCTGCTCTTACAACGGATCGCCGCTCGCCTCTTGCTGGACAGTGTGCCGACACGTGGTGCAGTAAGTAGAGCTAACGACACCCAGAGCGCCCCTGTTCCAGCCCCCAACACCAGAAGATGGTTCCGTAGGTCCAGCAGGTTAGGTCCACCAATTCCTCTCAAGTCTGCGTCTTCTGTATCCCGCCGCGACAGACAGGGGGACAGGCTGGGCGCGTTGTTCCAGCGGGACCTCAACGCCTGGCTCAGTCTGTGCAGGAAGAAGCGTGGACGTCGTCCCATGGTGCCTCGCGTCCCCGACTCACCGGAAGACGCGCCACTTGTGACGTCATCACCACCTGTGACCTCCCGCTCACCTGCGAGCTCCTCACTTCCAGTCGTAACCACAACAGCAACAACAATGACCGCCTTCTCTCTACCAACAACAACCACCACGATGACAGCAACTACCGCCGCCCCGACGACAGCAGCAGCAACAGCAGCAGCTGCAACAGCAACAACACCTCCAACAACAACAGCTACCGCGGGTACTACAACACCGACGATGACATCGACAACTTCTGCCCTGACGACCCCGGCAGAAACGGCCACGACCCCTACCACAACACCCCCACCACCACAACCACCAACAACCCCTCCACCACCTCCACCAACAAATCCACCTACAACCACAAACGAGGAGGAGGATGAAGATGGTGACGCCACCACGGTACGTCTCATTTCTCTGACACCTTCCGGCTCTCTCGACACAGGCGCCCCACGCAGCCCGGGCGCCACTCCTGTGACGTCAGCTACACTCTCCTCTGGCGAAGTCGTGACTTCAGCACCCACTCCTTTGGATTCTACAAGTCGTAATTCGATTACCTCTGGAAACCCGGCAGCCCCGTCCGAAATGCCCGAAGAAGCAAACCCCGTAACCGCTGGCTCCCTCACAACTCCACGCTCGTCCGACACCGAGGGAGAAGTGAGCTCACAATCTAACATCCCCGTCAGTTCTCCGAGCACACCCTCCTCTCCCACAAGCCTCTCTGGAGAATCTGAACAAGAGAACCCGATTCCTTCAATCCCGACGCAAGGGAATGTGATTTCTGCAGGAACAGCCCAACCCGCCACTGTCCCAACAATCCCCACTGCTGAGTCGGAACAAGAGAACCCAGGTCTTTTAGAAACGTCCCGAGCAAATTCGATTCCATCACTGTCGGAACAAGAAAATTCGGTTTCTCCAGGGACGACTCAATCAAACACTGTTTCTATTATCCCTACTGGAGAATCAGAACAAGAGAACGCGGTTCCATCAGTCTCGTCGCCAGGGAATGCGATTTCTGCATCAGCCACGACTCCTACAATCCCCACTACTGGTTCGGAACAAGAGAACCTTGTTTTTTCAGAATCGACTCAAACGAAAACAGGTTCTTTAGATTCGACACAATCTAAGTCGATACCTGAAGAATCAATACCAGAAAATCAGATTTTTAATGGGCCTTCTTCAATCCCCGCTGCTGATTTGGAGCAGGAGAATCAAGGTCTTTCAGAATCATCGCAAGGGAATGCGATTTCTGCGGGAACAACCCCACCAGCCGCGAATCCTACAATCCCCACTGCTGAATCGGAACAAGAGAATCTGGTTCTTTCAGAATCGACTCAAACGAAGACGACAAGTCCTTTAGATTCGGAACAATCGAAACCGATTCCTTCAGGATCGGCACAGGGGAATCCGATTTCTGTAGGCACGACTCCAACAACAAACTCTCTCCCTACAGTCCCACTTTCATCAGAACAAGAGAACTTGGTTTTTTCAGATTCGCCCCAAGCGAACGCAATTCCTCCAGTATCAATAAAATCAAATCCCATTCCTCCAGTCTCGACACAAGCGAATCTCATACCCTCGGACCCCGTACAATCCGCCGCCAGCCCCAGCCAGCCCGTGTCTTCTGACGTGAGCGGGAGCGCCGACCAACAGCAGCTCTCCTCGATGCCGGAGACACAGAACACTTTGGTGGACCAAGGAGTCTTCTCACCGGACGGCCCTATTGACATGTTTGGAGCGTCCGGGTAACGGACATTGATATTGATATGTGGTCATTATAATAACATCTGGATAACGGACGTTGGTACAGATAGATGGTCATTATAGCATTTGAACAACGGACGTTGATAATGATATGTCGTCATTATAACATCTGGATAACGGACGTTGGTATCTATATAATTATTATAATGATTGTAACATCTGGGTAACGGACGTTGGTATCGAAAAATTATGATTATTGTAACATCTGGGTAACGGACGTTGATATTGATATGTCGTTAATGAGTCATCGTAACATCTGGATAACGCACATTGGTATCGATATATTATGGTAATCGTAACATCTGGATAACGGACGTTGTATCGATATATGGCCATTGTTACTTCTGAATGATGGAAGTTGGTATTGATATGGTCATTGTAATATCTGGATAACGGACATTGGTATCGACATTGTTGTTATATCTGGTTAGCAGTGATTGGTTGTTGTAACATAATGATAACAAATATTGGTATTGATATTTATTTGGTCAATGTAACATCCCAAAACAGACTCTAGTGTAGATCAGGGGTGTCTAAATCAATCAGTCAGGGGAAAAGGGGGGGGGGGGGCAGACAAATTTACACCAATGGTTGCGGGCCAAGCTAGATAAGCACTCACTGAGCATGGAAAAATTAAACTTTTTGAAAACAATAATGTGAATTCAAACGGACAAAATTTGAAATACAATTTAATAACAAATCAACGGATACCAATTTTTGCTTGATATTTTCTTGGCAACAAATTTGTTTATGTTTGGAGTAAGGTTCTGTTTTATGGAGATTCATAGGATGGACTACTTAATTTCTCTCTCATGCCCAGTATAATATAATAATTGTCAGCCGGGCTGTGTTCAGCCGCAGACCTTTAGTTTGACACCCGTGTGAGTGTGTTATACGTTTTCGAAACATACCCGGTATGAAAAAACAGCACAAAAAAACAAACAGTGAACGTTGTTATCGTTGTGAAGTAACTTTAATGTCGAAGACGACACCACACGCAAGTCGATCCTTTGTTGTTGTTGTTGTTGTTGTTGTTGTTGTTGTTGTTGTTGTTGTTGTTGTCGTTGTCGTCG